GTCCTAACACAGGCAACCTAACAGTTTGGAGCATAAAACCAGGCTCAACTGCTGCTTGAAGGCCATAGATCATACCGATAAAGTACTGTCGTAGTCCTGTTCTGGTAACGCCGAATCCACACGACTATCAGTAGGTGTTGTACGATCAAATTTTGCTGCACCTACTTCTTCTTTTGTAACTTCCGAAATCAGTGCAGGCGGAAATTCATTTTCCGAGTCAGAATAAAGTGTTCGACCACCAGTTGAAGAATAATCTGACCCGTATGACTTTTTTGGAAATGAATAACCAATTACCACCTGTAAAAGAAAAGTAATAACAACAACGACAAAAAAAAAAAATGATTCGAACAGTAGTTATTAATACCGTATTCGTTAGAATCATCTGACAGAAACAATATATCATTTGATGATTCACAAATCTGTAAAATAAAACCTGAACAATTTATTTTTACTTTTTTTTTTGTTAGCTTAATTATTTATCACTCAGCAAAATAAATAAATAAATAAAACAGAAAATGAAAACAAAAACAAAAACAGAAAAAAAAAAACACTACTTTACTTGAACAACAAAGTGCCCTTTTGTGCGATAAATCTACCAAGTTTAAAGTGAACCGACAATTCTAATCTAGCAACAAAAAAAAAATTTTTTGTTGTATAAATAAAACCATAAAGTTCAGTGATTTTTTCCAAAAAATGCTGAATTTCAAAAGCAAAAAAAAAAAAAAAAAAGTTTAAATTTACTGCTAGAAGCCAACAGCATTATTCAATTTTTTTTAGATGTAACAAAAAAAAAATGAACAAAAATATAACACCAAAAATTTTTGACGAAAATAAGCATCAAAAAAATATATATATTTATATAAACAACAAAAAAAAAAGCTTCTTTTCTTCCCCTTTACTGAAGAAAAAACGAAAAAAAATAGGAATAAGCTATAAAAGAAAAAACGAAAACTGTATGAAAAGAGGCAGTCAAAATGAAAATTATCTAAAAGAACTAATTTTTGATAAGATTTCTTTAATTTTTCGCTTGGATAAATTTGATGAAAAGATTCAATAAGGGCAAATATTGATACAACTTCCAATCAATTGTAGACCATTTATGCAGTTTAGGAAGAAAAATATATCTTGCAAGATTAATGCACTTTCTAATCTACTGCTCCTATGACTTCTTCCCCTCCCCTCCTCCCCACCCAAATTTCAAAAAAATAGCAATAGTAAAAAAAAATAAGTAAATAAAATTTGTTGCTATAAAGTTAACAAAAAATAAAAGTGTTAATTTACACAACAATCCAAAAAAAAAGACTGTCAATGAAGATTGTAAAACAGAATATCAGAAAAAAAAAA